TATATCCACGATCCACTAGCTGCTCCCGGCTGGTTTGGCTCTCATTTCCAGGGATCACCCCCCCCCCCCAACGCCTGCCCCGAGGGGTGCTGAGTGGATGGGCTCTTCTGCCCAGGGGCCTCCTCCTGGGGGCTCCTCCCCACCTGTCCTGCCTGGGGATCATTGACCAGGGACCTGCCTAGGAAGTCCCCGGGGGAGGAAGGCTGGGGGCTGGGGGTGCCTACTCTGGGCAGGGACAGAGCCTCCATTGTATGAGGCTTCAGCCGTTGACCAAGCCTCGCTCCTGCCCGCAGCCTGGAGGGAGCTCCTCTCAGAGCCTTCCTCCCCCATCCCTCGAGGGAAGCCCATTGAGTGGCCTGGCACCTAGTGGGTGAGAGAGCCGGCCTCCTTGCCCCTCTGGCATTTGGAGGCTTGTGAGGGGCAGGGAAGCGCCGGGGGGGGGCGGGCCGGGCAGTGCCCTCACTTGTTACCGGCCTTCTGCTTCTTGCTGGGGATTTTGCTTAGAACCAGCCTGAGGGGCCTGCCCTGGCTCTCCCCGCTCACAGCCCGGGGACTCCCTGCTCAGGATTGCGTGGCCTGGGACACATCCCTCAGCCTCATCGGCCTCGTCTGTCAGGGGAATGAAATTAACTCAAGTGTCCAGCGTGCAGCTTGGTGCACAGCCGTGTCAGCTGTCATTCTGTGATCTCAAGAGTGATGAGGGTCACAAAGGACAGGGTCAGGGACGCCTGGGTGGCTCAGTCTGTTAAACGACTGACCTCGGCTCAGGTCATGGTCTCACTGCTCGTGAGTTCGCGCCCCGCGTCGGGCTCTGGGCTGACAGCTCAGAGCCTGGAGCCCGCTTCAGAGTCCGTGTCTCCTTCTCTTTGCCCCTCCCCTGCTCCTCCTCTGTCTTTCTCTGTCTCTCAAAAATAAATACAGATTAAAAAGAATTTAAGAATAAAAAAGGACGGGGCCAGGAGTCTGGTGGGCAGTCGGTCTGAGCTTCGTTGAGCAGTCTGCAGAGTGGGATGGCTGTCTGTCCTTGGGACGGCTGTCCGTCCCCAGAGAGCAGCAGGGACTCCAGGCAGGGAACTAGCACGCGTTACGAACCCACCGGCATGATCAAGTGCCATTTCGTTTACACCTGCGTCTGAGAGTCAAGGGCAGGAGGCACCAGAGGATTAACCTCCTGAGGTCTGGCGGCCAGAGAGAAGCAGCTTTAGCATCTGAGTCCTTCCTTCCCGTAGGTCTCTTTCCGGGGCTCTGAGTTCTGGACGTGTGCCCCTTGCTATAGCTCCTCCGGCATCTTCTTGGACGAGGCGCCGTGTCTCTCCAGGCTTTCTGGGAGATGATGTCTCCCTCCAGAGCCCCCAGCAGGTGGCTGCTTGCTCTGAGGGCAGAGCTGTGGGCGCCCTGCTTCCCCGCACGCAGTAGCTGCGGGTCCCCCCCACTGCCCAGCTGGCATCCCCACCTCTCCCTCCCGGCTCCGGTCTTTCCGGACAGGGCCGAGGATACCCGAGGGGTCTGAGGTTCCCCCCTGGGTCATGCCCTTCTTTCCATCCGGCAGGAAGCCCAACACCCACAGCTGCCCCAGGCCCAGGGACACACCGGCCGTACGGTTCCACAGTGAGTAGATCCCAGGCAGGTAAAGGTTCTCAGGCTCTCGGGTTCGCAACCCCTGGGCTTAATTTGGTGCAGTTGAGCGGCTGTTGTCTAGTGTTCCAGACACTGAGATGACAAGAAGTCACAGTCCACTGAGGGAGACAGTTATAACAGGGTGTGTGTGTGTGTGTGTGTGTGTGTGTGTGTCCCAGAATCACTTGTGCCTTTTGAAAATAGACTAGACTTTCCTTGGCTGCATCCCTGAGCTGTCAGAATCATGGACTTGGGACACATGTTTTTTTTTTTTGTTTTTTTTTTTTAAGTTTCACAACCAGCCTTGGGAACCGTGTCATGAAATCAGTGGGTTTTGAAGGTTAAGTAGGAGTTTGCTTGCTGGCTGTGAGAGGGCGTTCTAGCTGGAGGGCGTAAACAGCCTGAGCAAAAGGCCCAGAAATATAAACCAGGTTGGGAGGGGCAGGGGCCTGACGACCCTTATGAGGGCTGAGCATGGATGGGAGAGAGGTCAATGGAGAAAGGCGAGGGGCGGGTCCCTGAGGGCCTCGATTGGGTCCTGGACTTCATTCTGGAGGCGAAAGGAAAAGCCTGAGGGTATGTGTTGTGGAATTGGTCACTGTGGCAGCCAAGGGTCGGGGGCAGGTCAGCCAAGTGTATGTCTGACAAAAGGCCAAAAGTCACAGAAACCTCTGGAAGGGTGCAGTTGCGTGGAGAAGCCCTGGTCCTGCCCGGCCCAAACTCCTGGCCTTGCTGGCCTGTGCCACACGTTTCTCCTGGCTTCCAGGAGACAGACACAGGTGCCTCCGAGACCAGGTTTGAGATGGCTGGGGGGCTAGGACCTTTTTCTTGTTTCCCTCCAAGCAAAACTGGGTGGCGGGCCCCCGTCGTGGAGCAAGGCCGCCGGACTCGGCTATGCCAGTATCTGCTGCTTCCCCAGCTTCTGGGACTGACTCCCTGCCTGTCTGGACCCCCTGCCCACTCTCCCCTCCCCTGTCCTCTGGCCTCTCTCCCCAGAGGCCAGCCTCCCCTGTCCTCAAGCGCCTGGCCCAGCCTGTGCAGCCTCCCTGACTTTGCGGAGCCCCTCCAGGGGTCTTCTCCAGGCCTCCTGTAGGAAAGAGGGATGGGGCCGCTCAGGGATTGGGGGTGGGAGGTGGCTCCGACTGGGGTGAGCCTCACGAGCTAATGAGCTAATGAGGGGGAGGCGGGTGCAGGCTGGAGGACGGTCTCCTACCGGGCCTCAGGGCTGGATGGACCTTGAACTCTAGAGGGAAGGAGGAAGTGATAAGCTCTTTGATTAAATGAGACCCGGAAGGTACCTGCTCTGGTGAGCAGGGCGGCTGCCGGTGGAGGGAGGTGCTCATGCTGGCTGCTCTTGGGTGGTCCCCGTCCTGGGCTCACCCTGCTGGGGTCCCCCTGCCGCCCAGGAGCTGGGGCTTCCTCCTCGGCCCTTCTCTCTGTCGCACAGCCCCCCGGCTAGCCATTCTGCACCCTGTAGCGGGAAACGGCACTGTTGAGGGGGCCTGCCCGCCTGTCCAGTCTTGACAGGTGTTTCCAAAGAGATGACCCCCCCCCCCCCCCCGCCCCGAAGAGGAAGAAGTCTAGGACCCACCTGCCGAGCTCAGCACAGTGAACTCGACAGGGATAGCAGCAACCGGCGAACCGGTCTGTACCGTTCTGAAAAAAGCTTCTTAAGCTTTTTTATATTTATTTTTACTTATTAAAAAAAATTTTTTTTAATGTTTATTTATTTTTGAGAGAGAGAGAGAGAGAGAGGGAGGGAGAGAGACAGAGGACGAGCAGGGGAGGGGCAGAGAGAGAGGGAGACACAGAATGGGAAGCAGGCTCCAGGCTCCGAGCCGTCCACACAGAGCCCGACACGGGGCTTGAACCCACGAACCGTGAGATCATGGCCTGAGCTGAAGTCGGATGCTTAACCGACTGAGCCACCCAGGTGCCCCCAAGCTTCTTAAGCTTTAAAAAAAAAGGTGGGTACAGCACAGTCGGTGCGGCGTGCTCCCTCCCGTGTGAAACAAGATGCGTATACAGGACAGGTATAAGCTGGCACACACATGGGACATTTAGAGGGACTCCTAAGGACCTAGTGACAGCGGTCACTTTGGGGGGGGGGCGGGGTGGCTGGGGGAAGGGAGACTTAGTTTTTGCTGTGCAGCCTTTATACTGCTTGGGTTTCGAGAGGCACTAGAGTGTGGTGGCTACTTAATGAGTGTGGACCGGGTTGGGGGGGGGGGGCGGTCTATGGCCTGGGTTCAAACCCCGGCTCCGGCGCTTAGTACATGTGTGATGCTGGGCAACTTTCTTAACCACTCTGGGCTTCGTTTTCTCATAGTTTGGGTTCACAGATGTTAATATTTGTAAAGTGCTTAGAATAGCATCTGAGACGTAGCAGGCACCATGGGAATGTTTGCTGTTATCAATTAATTGCTATTTACGTGTGTCCTATATTTATTTAGGAAGCCAGTTAACGAAAATAAAGGCTTTAGGACTGGAGAGGAAAAAAACAGGCTCACAGCTAGTTTGTGGCAGGGGCTGCTTGGGTTGGAGGGCTCGTGCTTTCCCTCCAGGACTGATTCTGTCCTCTACAGAAAGGTCTAGAAGGACAGCCCTTAGCTCGGAATCGGGGGAGTGCCGGTGGGGAGTGGGGAGAGCTCCTTCTCTCACCGCGGGACTTCTGCAAGGTTGGCTGCAGGGCCCGGGAAGCCCAGCAGAGCCCCCACTTTGAGGTTGCGCTCCCGGCTCCAAGCATTTGGGATTCTACCCCTGTCTCTGGCCATCTGCCTCTCTGCAGCCTTTTACTTCCCTTACGCCCATGTGCCAAGGCCGGTGGCCCCTCGCCAGCTGGCCAACCCTGTGGGGCAGGACGGGGAGAGACAAAGAAAGAGTGAACGGCCTTCAGTGGGGCTGCAGGCGGGGCTGGTGCGAGGGGCCGGCCTCCAGGGAGCTGTGGTCAGTGGGCAGCGGGAGGAGGAAGTGTCCAGTCACATCCAAGACCGTGCAGGCATGATCCAGCTTCTGGAACACAGGGGCCTGAGTGTGATCCTGGCCTCTGGGGCTGGAGTTTGCCTGCAAGCCGGAAGGGATGAGAGGGGTTGTCTAGCCAGACCCACTGGGCTGCCCCGGGTCTCTGGTCGGGGGCGGCCAGGGTTTTCTGGGAAGATGGGGTTACGGCTCTGCAGCTGCTGGTGTTCTGGGTTAATGATTTATGGTGGGTGGGGGCTGGGCCCTTTCTGGGGCTGTCCTGTGCTCCCGGAGCCGCTGGGGAAGGAGCCGGAGAGCTGGCGGGCTGGAGCACCTGGCCGTGAGCCAGTGACCCCTTTCTGTTGACGAAACTTTGCCCTTAAACGCCAGCTAATTAGATTTCTGGCCTTTTTTTTTCCCCACAGGCGAGCGGCTGGGACGGTGCTGGTTTGAGCTGGACCCTGTCTGATGGCTTCCTCCAACCCTCCTCCACAGGCTGCCATAGGTAAGTTACCCCAGGCTTTCCGCCCGACCCCCCTCTGAACGGGCCCCGGGGCTGGCCGAGGGCCACCGGCCCTGGGCGTGAAGCCTGCCCTGCTGGTGGTTGGCTGTGAGCTCTTGGGCAAGTGACTTCACCCCTGTGCCTCAGTTTCCTCGCCTGCAACAGGGAAATCATAATTTCCTTGTCACACAGAGTAGGCTCCAGACGAGGCTTGAGTCTTTACCTAACATGCCCCGGAGACTTTAAACTTTGAAGGCCACAACCCTTAGACGTGACCGCAGCCGTGTCGTGTGCTTGGGGGGGCGGAGGGGAGTGAGGCTTATGAGTTGAGGGCAGCGACCCCAGGTTGGAGGGGAAGGCGTTGGGGCCGCCCGCCTCCATCTGCCAAGGTCCCGAGGTCAGGTCGTCTAGCAGCGGCAGGGTCACCAGAGTTATCGAAAAGAAGAAGAAGAAAAATCCATGCTTATGCTAACAAATTATTTGTTGTTAATCTGAGATTCAGTTCGATGTCCTGTGGTTTATCTGGCAAAGCCTGGCAGTGGGGCCTCGGACACCGTAGGCAGAATCCAGAAGCCAGAATCCTGGAGGAGCTGGACACCCTTCTCTCACTGGGCCCAGATTCCTGTCCGTTTATCCTCCTTTGGGGGACGCAGATAGCAGAGAGGTCCCGCCTGGGGGCTTTTTTTCACCAGCCCAGCCCTGCCACTGACACCGTGGGCTTGGCTGAACGACTTGGTGATTCCGTGGCTGTTTCATCAGCCGGAAACATGGGGTTGGTAATGACACCCTCTCCTGTGCTGTTGCAAGGTTTAAATATATGTAAAGCCCGGGTGTGTGGTGATCAATCGCTCAATGAATAGAAGCCATTATCACCATGGGGTGTTGCGGGACAAGGCCAAGTGTGCCGGGCTCTGAACCCCGGGCCGAGACCAAGGAGAGGTCCCTTCCTCCCTGAGCCCTCGTGTTCTTCTCCGAAGGGTGGGGACCAGCACAGTGAACCCACCTTCACGGTGCAGGGTGGCTGCTCAGGCGTCCTGCCTCCCCCGGCCTTGCCGGGGTTGGCTCTCCCCAGGACGGGAGTGCGTCCAGGAACATCAAAGGCATATGTGGCCGGTTCTGGTCCTGCCACCTGTCGGGATGGGTGGGAAGGGCTCAGTTCAGCTCTCATTATCCAGGGAGGGGCCTTCTGATTTTTCCTTCTGATAAGGAGCCACGTCTGGTTGCCTTGGGTCTCAGGAGCATGGGGACAGGGCTGTGGGGACCAGGGCATCTTCTGATGCCCGACTGTGGCTTTGATCCCAGGATGCCCCCTGCCCTGCCTCCTGCTGCCGTGGGCGTTTTGCACCCTTCCTCCTGCCCGGCAACAATGAAGAACACAACGATTTTGCGATTAAACTGATTCGGTCCCATTCAGCAAACATCTGAAACTCGGGCCAGTGCCACCTGGTGGAGACAGGCTCTTTGCCACTTGCGGATTCTCTGAGAACTTGCTGTTGTCTTACTAAATGAAACTCAAATCCCCCGAAACACCTCCGCGTCTGCGCCCCCACTGGCTCACGGGCCGTTCGTTCCCCGCTCCGGCCGTGGCCGCAGCCTCTGGAGCACCAGCTCGATACGAGCCTGTCGGACCTTCACTCATCCTGCAAGGCCCTGTGAAGGGGCAGCCCCGGCCGGCCTGAGCCCCCCTCTGCTGTCGCTGGGCACTGGCTCAGTCCCTTGTGTGCTGTGGCCATCTCTTGCCATATTTGCCGCCCGCCTCACCTGCAGTGAGCTCCTTGACGTGAGGGGTCCCGTCTTACTGGCCCAGGGGCTGCTGGGAACAGTCCTCGGGATGCAGGCGTGACTGTATTGACGGATGTCCCTGCACACAGCCTGTGGGCCGGTGGCTCAGCGGGCCAGGCCTGTGATTGGGAAGGCCTGCCCATCTCCCCGAGGGCCTGGGGCTGGGCTCTGACTGAATAATAATAATAATAACAACAACGAAGATAATGGTAAGGATGCAATGACACAGGACAATGAGTGGGACCATTATTATCAGAATAGCTAATGTCAGTGAGCACGTACCTCACACCGGGCGCTTTATATGCATCAGTTCATTCCTCCCTCCCGTCCTCACCCCGCCCCCTCTGCTCGCCTGTGAGGTACTCACTGTCACTGTCCTCCTTATGGGTCAGGAAGCCGCCGCCTGTGGGGATAAAATGACCTGATGCTCAGGCAGCATCTAGGAGAGCTGGGGTTGGAGCCCAGTGGTCTGGCTGTGACACCCTAGTCACCCTGTGACACTGGTCATGCACACAGTATCCCTGCCGCCTCTCAGGCAGATTCAAGTGGGCAGGGGCCAAGGGCACCGAGAGAGAGAGAGAGAGAGAGAGAGAGAGAGAGAGAGAGAGAGAGTAAGCCAGGGAGGGGCGGAGAGAGAGGGAGACACAGAATCCGAAACAGGCTCCAGGCTCCGAGCTGTCCACACAGAGCCCGACGCGGGGCTCGAACCCACGAACCGCGAGATCATGACCTGAGCCGAAGTCGGACGCTCAACCGACTGAGCCACCCAGGCGCCCTGTGGTGTTTTTAAACTTTTAATACCACGACCCATAGACATGGCAACAGGAGTGTGTGTGTGCACATGTGTGTGTGCGTGTGTGTTCAACAGATGCTTGTTGTGCACCTACTGTGTGCGGGCACTGTACCAGATGCTGGGGATATATGTGACAGTGGACAAAACAGACCAGAATTCCTCATGAGCTCACGTACGTTCTAGTGAGGACCCAGTAAAATAAAAGCGTCAAACCTCGTTGCTGACGAGGGCCGTAGGGCAAAGTAAAGCAGGCGAGTCAAATGGGGAGTCCCAGGGTGTCTCTGTGGGCAGTTTCGCTCACAGCAGCCTCACCTGCAGGTGACCTGTAGTAAACACCTGAAGGAGGTGAGAGCAGGAGAAGATGCCTGGGGAAGAACATTCCGGACCCCAGGACTGAAAGTGCAAAGGTCCTGAGGCAGGAGCACATCTGGCACGTTCACGGTGTAGCAAGACCAGTGTGGCTGCGTGGGGCGAGCGAGGGGAGAGCGGTAGAAGGTTCTAGACCACCTGTACGTGTGTGTGTGTGTGTGTGTGTGTATATATACCCTGGAACAGAACTGTCAAAAGCAATATCGAGAGTAATCCCAAGTGTGACTTTATAAACCTAAAATATTTAAAAATATCTCAAATAAGCATTTCAAAAATGAAACAAAAGGCTGCCCGGGGAATCCCCTAATTGATTTTGTGACTCACCAGTGGGTTGAGAGCCAGAACATGAAAGCTACTAACCTGGCTTCTGACTCAGCCCGGGATTTCTCGTGTCAGTTCATCATCTCAGGGCCCACCCAGCATCCAAGGGGGCAGCAGGGCTCAGTGGAGCATGTAGGATGGGAACTAAGACAGAACGGGCATTTTCGGGCTCGCCACCAGGGTTTGGTTCCCTGACCTGGGGGAGCGGCTTGTGTCCCTGGCCACACCATGGCCTGGAAGGGTCCATCCTGCTGACTTTGGCCCAAGGGGCCCCCTAAGCTCCCAGGAGGAGAGGTGGGCCCCCGCCTCAGTGGTCTCCGGCTGGGGGTGGGGGAGGGAGGATGAGCTGGCGTGCAGCTGACGAGGGGACTTCTTGGATTTGGTACATTTGCACCTGGAATGTTCTGCTCTGCAAACTCCCAGGTCGCGGGGGGAAGGATTGGAGTTTTCTAGTCCAACAGACTGCTGGAACTGGATATGCCCATCAGTCTGTCTGCTGTTCCATCCAGCTGTCTCTCTGCTCCATGCACCTCGCTGCCTTCTTACTCATCCCTCCCTGCCCCGAGCACCTGCTGGGGCCGAGTCCACAGACCAGGCGATCCTGTCTTCAAGGATCTCAGACTGGGAGGGGCCGTACCTACAACAGGTGCCTGGGTGCTCCATCTACCCTGTCTGTTCTCAACCTGGGGTGATTTTGTTCCCCAGGGGACGTTGGGCAATGTCTGCAGACGTTTCTGGCTGTCACAGCCGGAGGGCAGTACTTGCTTCTAATTGGTGGAGGCCGGGGCTGTGGCCGTACGTCCTCCTCCAGCGCCCCCACCACAAGGACCCTGCGACCCCAAAGTCAGTAGCAGTGAGGCTGACAGACCTGGACCTGCTTCTCAGTTCACGTTCTCGGCCTCATGGGGTGTTTTTATTCCCCAGTTTACAGAGGGAGGCGTCAGGGCTCCGAGAGGTGAAGTGGCTTGCTCGGAAGCACACAGCACGTTGGGGTCCCAGGCAGGACCGAAGGTCATGCTCTAAATCATACGGTGTGAGCTGCATACAGCGGGACTGCTTAGGGCGGCCGGAGGAGGGGTGGTCAGCTTTGCAGACTTTTAACACCAGGCCACACTACCCTTTGGTTTTGGAGCGGGTTTGCAAGAGGCCGGAGGGGAGGGCGAAGTGAAAGCCTGAGGCGCTGTCCAGCCCCAGGTTCTAGGAAGGGAGCCCTCGGAGGAAGACTGAGAACCGCAGCTCGGTGATGTAGGTGGAGAGGTGAGCGCCTGGTCAGCTCTTTGGGAGAGACGATCCGTTCCTTTTCTTGTTTAACAGAAGTTTCTGGGTTTCTACCCCAGGCCAGGCCAGGACCTGTCCCCTTCAAGGGGACGGTAAAAGGGGCTCTCAGGGATCTGAGGTCTGTCTGGGAATACAACCGAGCACAAGTCACATCACTGCAGGTCATACAGGAATGGAGAAAACAGGGCTGAGTCGAGGGGGGGGGTGTGGTGGGGCAGGGCTCTGCTTCGGTGGAGCTTTGATGGATGGCAGGGGGCATGGCTCCAAACACTTGCAGGCGGCCGGCCGTGTTTTATGCCACTGCGGTGTGCAGGCCAAGCGTGTGTGTGCTCACTCACACGTATGAAAAGCACATGGGTACACACATGGAGATACGCACAAAGGTGCGTACCCAGCCGCACGCGAGCAGATGCATTTAAAAGGCCCCCCTTGCTTACAAAATGGGGAAATAGGGAACAAGGGCACGAAAGACGTGCGTCCGAGTGTGGATGTGCTCGCGTTCTCCGTGAAGGCTTTCTCCCTCCCCTCTGTCCGCTGCCCACCTGCTTTGAGCCCTCACCGAACCACAGGTCACTTCTGGAGCACAGGAGGGCCGGCTGGCCCCTGGCAGGGGTTTACTCTAGTCTCTGGGAACTGCCCTCGCTCAGACCCCAGCTGCTCACCCGCTGCAGTTATCCCCCTTGCCCAAACCCCAGGCCCTGTGGCCGCTGACTCCTCCTCCCTTCCAGAAGATCAGCTGGTTCCTGGAGGCCCTGGCCCCTCCCCTGAGGCGGAGGACGACCCTGGAGAGGCTTTCGAGTTTGACGACAGTGACGATGACGAGGACACCAGCACTGGCCTGGCCGTCCCGGGCATTGCTCCCGAGAAGGACATCGATGCCCCACTGATCCACTGGGACTCCGCCCCCATCGCTGGTAAGGTGTTTTGGGGGAGCCTTGGGGCCTCCCATTTCCGGTCCGCTGGGGCTACAGAGAGCCAGTGGAAGATCCAGGCTCCCAGTGATGCCTTCCAGGCCCCACCATGGTCCCCAGAAGCAGGAAGGGAAAAACCATTGAGAAGAAGTTGCATTCCACCGCTTCCCTTGGGGACTGGACATTCCAGGCATTCCTGCAGCATCTGGTGCACTTTGACACATCATAATGAAAGTGGTTTTGGCCCCGGGGTTGTGCTTTGGACACAGCGGGTGCCCAGGGCTGTGTCTCCCGAGCCCCTCTTCCTCAGCAGCTGCTCCCAGGGAATCACACCAACCAGAGAAGGAGGTTCCCAGAAGTCCCGGAGGGTGGCTCTAGGGGTGGGAGTGCCTGATAAGCCTGATGTTAAATGGCAGCTTCTGGGCTCTCGTATTGTGTCATCTGGGAGAGACTGGGGACCGGACTAGCAGGAACCTCCTGCAGGCTTGGGGACAAGAGGCTCCTTGAGGAGCTGGGGGTGGTGGGGGGGGGGCAGGCCCAGTGCAGGTAGGGCGGCTGGTTCTGGTCAGAGTTGGGATGTGGGCCATGGGGGTGGGAGTGGGGGTGGTGCAGGTAGGACAGGTTGGGGAGCTTAATGACAGCCGGTGCAGTGGCTGGGGGAGGGGAGGCAGGAGCCCAGCAGGCACCCGGGAAAGGGGGCGGGGATGGGCCCAGTCGGTAGAGACCAGCCTCGGGCCTGACGGGCTCTCCTCTGCTCTCTTCCCCCAGACCCAGACCCAGACCCAGACCCAGACCCAGACCCGGTAGCCTCACCACCCCAGACACAGTAAGTGAGCCTTGTTCCTTTGCTTTGGCGGTTGGAGGAAGAGACACCAGGCAGGAGGTGTGAGAGAGGGTGGCGCTGTGCCCAGGAGGGCTTGGATGGGTCTTTGGCTAAGGAGGGACGCATTCAAGATCCGTCAGCCATCCCCTCTGTGGCCTCCCCAGCCAACTCTGGGGCGGGCTTCACATTTGGGGCTTGGGAGTCTTACAAGCAGTGGGTTCTCAGGGTTTGGCTCACTGCTGCTTGCTGCCTGGCTTCGGGGGCCTCAGAGAGCACTCCTCTAAAGGAATTCTGAGTGGTGGATTGAGGGCCTGGGGCCGGGGCTTTAAATCCTGGCCACGCTGGTTGGGGGGAGGGGTATTTGAGTCTCCTTTTGTCTTCCTGGTGCGGGGAGCCAGGGAGACTGAGGCTCAGGCAGGTGTCTCCAGGCTGGCTGTCTCAGAGATGCATTTTGCCGCCTTGGGCCCCCGGGAGCCAAGGCAGCCCTGGATTCAAGTGCAAATGTCCCTGCATTTGCCATCTGGAGTGCGTGGGCCCTAGGAGGGTTTCTGCTGGGCCAGAGGCATGGGCCGGCCTCTCCTCCCTGGCGGGGGATCTGAACTGAATCAGCAGCCCTGCACCCACGCGCGGGGAGCTCTGCTCTCCCAGGGGTTAGAGCCCTCCAGGGTGGGCCAGGAAGGAAGCTGGCCAGAAAGGCAGTCTAGTCGGGGATGCAGACACAGGAGAGCGGTCCCAGAGAAGGATGCACAGGGAACTGGGGACACCGATGGGAGGGGGCCCAGGAGGAGAGCTCAGGGAGAGGGGAGGGTCGGGGAAGAGAGTTTACTGGAGGAAGCTACTGGCCGAGGCAGGGGGGTGGGAAGGGGAGCCGGCCATGAGCTAGTGCACCGCTACCCTCAAGGTCTGGTGCTCTTGCTTCCCTCAGACCACCCTCCAGGAGAACCCCGCTGCCCACTCGGGACTGTCCCTGCCCGCCTTCTCTCTGTGGGTCCTGGAGGCCGGATTGGATGTCTGGCCAGTGCTGGCGCCGTGCCGAGGCGGGGACCCAGGGGCCTGAGAGCTGCTGCCATCAGCCCCACTGGGCAGGTAGCTCAGAGAGTGTTTCAGGCACAGGGGCCCAGCCTCGGCCTTGACCCGCCGCCCGCCCCTCTGCAGCACCCTTACCTGTCCTGGGACTCGCCCTGGAGCAGCCCTAGCCCCCTTGAGCACCATCTCCTGGTGGCGCCAGGGCGTGAGCTCTCGAAGGTTCAAATCCCCACTCAGCTCTTCTCCAAATGGGTGGTTTTGGGCGCCCGTGAACCTCTCTGAGCCCCACTTTCCCCATCTGTAAGGCGGAAGTAATACCCATCTAAGAGCATCGTGGAATAGGAGAGGCTGGTGGAAGGACGCACTAAATATGCACCTTGTGTTTGCTTCTACTCCGCCTCCTGTCTGGGTGTTCCCAGTGATGGGACCCGAGGGACGGAGACTGTGCGCTCAGTGCCTCAGCCTCTTGGGCTGGGCCTGGGTTGCCCGGTGAGTCTTGCCAACACTTGGCTTGAATAAATGTCACTTTTGAGTTCCCTGACTGGGCAAAGCCCTCTGCAGAGCCTCAGTCCTGGCCGGAGTCCTCAGGGGCCTCTCTTCCTGCCCTTAGTTTCCCGGATGGAGAGCTTGGGGGGCAGGACTTGTCCAAGGTCATGCGGTGAGACTCCGGCAGCCTCGGACTCCTCCTCCAGTGCTCTCTGTCTGCTCCCAGTGGCACCCCTTCCTTCTGGGTCTCTGTTTACTTCACTTCCAGCTCCTTGCCTGGGGGGTGATTTTCTACTTTGGAGTCCTCTGGGAGAAGAATCCGCTCAGATCACTGTCCTCCTTTCTATCTAAGGGAAAGAGGAAAAAAAAGTTTGCTGTCCTTTTTTTTTTAGACTTTCCTAACGGTAGTCTCTCAGCAGAGGCTGCTTTGAGAAAGCAGATGGCCGAGCGGAGGACATTTTCACCAGTCCTCCTTGCATTTCCTCCACGGCCCCTGCCTGCGGGTCTGGAAATGGTCCCTCTGCCTACCTGGCCTCGGGAGGCTTCTGACAAGAGTTGGGGTCACCGCCCAGGTCCCGGAGTTGCTGCAGCCTCAGAGCCACCGCACTCCCATCCGGGCCCTCGTCCCCAGCGGGGGAGGGAAGCGGGCCAGTCCTCGTCCCCGCCGGCCAGCTGCCAGGCAGGAGCGAGGTGGGTAAAGTGAGGGCTGGCGTCCGGGGCCTGAATCACCCGGCAGCCTGGGCCCTGAGCCACGCGGAGCTGGCCTCGAGTCCTGCTCTGCGCTTAGCTGTGCGTCATTGTGCAACTGACTTCCTGTCCCGAGCCTCACTTCCCAGGGGTAAGACGGGGATCATAAATCTACTCTCTTGCAGGACTTGCACGAGGCACATGTAACCTTGATCCCGTGCTCAGTCTGGCTGGCATGCGCCGGCCGCCCCAGATGTGTTTGCTGTTGTTATTCTGGGTCCTGGTTGTCGAGGGAGCCGGCTGGGCTCCGTACCCTGGGAGTCAGACCGACCTGGGTTTGACTGGGCTCTCAGCAACCAGCTACCCCAGCTCTCCCAGTCTGCGCGGGGAGGGGAATCGTACTTGCGGGGTGGGCGGTGGCGAGGCTGGCTGAGGCTGACTGGCAGTCCGGGTACCCTGGCGGGGGCACTGGGTCCGTGTCTGACTTTGAGGCCTGTGGACTTCCTGGTCCCTTCACCGGCTCGGCCAGTGGGGGGCAGCCAGGCGTCTACGGGGTAAACAGAGCTGCTGGTGTTTCTGGGTGCACGGTGCCGAGGCCCCTGGGGTGATTTGAGGGTCAGGCCACCCTGCCCAACACGGAGTGAGAACAACCGGGGTCTCGTCCGTCCTTGCTGCTGGTCAAGAGCCACCTTCGAAGTGCTCGGCGTTGGTGACGCTTCTGCTTGTGGCACGAGATATGTCTATTGCTGGAAAACAACCACGATGACAGTGGCAAAGTTAACGGCAGTGATAATGATCGTGCTTACTGTGTACCGGGCACCCTGAGCTAAGTGCCCACTCCCGCTGATGCCTCCCATCTGCAGGAAGTAGACCCTGTCCTTACCTATGGCACAGGTGGGGAAACTGAGGCTCAGGGAAGTTAGGCGGCCAGGGTCACGCGGAGATGGTACGTGTTCATTCAGCCCGGAGACTAGGACCTTGGGCCTCTCCAACCAGAGGCTGGGCATTGGCCCCAGGCTGTCCTCCAGGGATGCGCTGGGGACTCCAGGTGCAGACCCAGAACCTCAGGCTTTGGGTCATGGTGGGGGTTGTGGCCAGTTCCATGTGGATGAGCCGATTGTGCGTGTGTTTAATTGGGGTGAGGATTTTGCCTGCTAGGGGATTTAACTTTGCCTCTGAGTTCTTAGAGAGCAGTTTGCGAGCGGTCGGCCCTTGGGGGGCCAAGCAGGGTGGCCTCGGCACTGCCTGTATGTGATTCTGGCTGAGGTCCCTTCCTGTAAAGGGGAGCAGAGTACCAGCGGCCCCCTCCCCTCTGGTAGAAGGGTGTGGAGGCATGTCTTCCCGCCTGCATGTTGGCTCCCTTGGGCGCTGGTGGTTTGGGTGGGGGTGGGACGCATTGTATTTGCTGTTGGGTCCTCTTAGCACACTGCCCGGCCTAGGGGAGTCCTGAAGGCATCGTGTGGAGTGAATGGTGGGCGCGGGCGGACAGAAGGACCAGTGGGGTCTGAAAGGCAACCTTCCGTGTCTCCATGAAGACGAGAATGGGTATTTGGAGCCCGGGCTTCGACTCTGGCACTGACGGAGGCCGGTAGGAGGCAGGCTCTCCGTGGCTGGGTGGTTGGTCCCACTGATGCTGGTGGTGGTGGTGAGCTAACACCGCGAGCTGACTTCATCTTGCAACTGATCTCTCCCAGCACCGCAGCCGCGGGAGATGGGATGATTGATCTTGCCCACTTTTTAGATGAGGAACGGAGGCTAGAGTTGAAGCGGCTTAGCTGTCCGTTGTTGGAGCCCGTGGGATTGGCCTTTCCTGGTGGACTTTGAGGCCCATGCACTCAAGCACCCCGAGCTCTCGCCGGGGGAGTCCGGCTGACGAAGCAGCCCGGAGCACCAGTGCCTGCTAGAAACAAGGGCGTGTGGGTCGCTGGCTTCCTGTGTTTTCCCTGGACTCAGGCCCGGGCCTCTTACCTCTGAGGGCACCGGCCCCCTCTGGGGTTGTTTGCTTTTCCTGCGCGGTTTTGCTGCCATCCCAACAGGGCCCCCTGCAGCCTTAGTATTTCCTGCTGGGTCAGGCTTTTGGCTCCTGTCCGGGCTGCAGGGATGCTTACTGGCTCCCTGGACGCACCTGTCCTGCCCCTTCCTGGGTACCCAGACGAGATGGACTGGTCAGAGGCTCTCACCTGGGCCTGGACGCCAGGGAAGCAGTTGGGCAGCTGGATTCCCGGAGGTGCCAGGGAGCCCCGTCCTCCCTGGACACCTCCGGTGCTGGGAGCATCCAGCCGGGCACAGGGAAGCGGCATTTGAACAGAATGGATGGAACCAGGGCACTGGAGGGCCTGGCGGCGGCCTGTGGCTTCTGAGGCTCATGGATGTGGGGAGTACGGGGGTCTTGGGAGGGACGGCTGGACAAAGCTGGAGTGCCCCCAGCCCCGGAGGAGTTTCTCCCTGGCGGAAGTCAGTCACCGGCTTATCACTCAAGGCTTTATAGACTGGCTGCAGCCCTAGTCTGGGGTTGTTTATACTCCCAGGCTTGCCCTCAAACTCACTGTTTCTACAAATCTGGGGCATTCTCAGCCTCCCGCGTCCTCTTCCGAGGGCTCTGTGTGAAATCTGAGCCCTGGCAGAGGTCACTGCCCCTCAGAGGAAGATGTCCTCGTGACAGGGTTATGGGGACCAGGCCCCTTTTCCATTAGAGACCTCTCTCTGGCTCCTTGCCAGTCCCGAAGTGGAAAAGCTGTATTTTTTTTTGTTTTTGTTTTTCCTCCTCCCCACCTCTGGTTACGAGGGGTTTCCACATCCGGAGCCATAGCCTTTGGATCCCGGCACAAAAGTACCCAGCATAAGAGCCACACGGTCTCTCCTGAAGAAAGGTCCCCACGTACCCGCATTCATTGCACTGAGTACCCCTTTCGGGAATCTGGTGAAGCCCATCCCTGGATCCCTGCAGCCACAGGACGCTGCCTTCTTCCTCTCTCGTCCCTGGTGCCTGGCGTAGAGAAGGTGCAACCCCAATAGTTTCCGCGTGCACGGACTTTATGTGGTCCGTTCCACGCATCTCCTAGCTGTGGCGGGCAGAATAATGCCCCCCCCCCCCCCCCCACGAAGAGTGCCATGTCCTAATCCCCAGCACCCGTGAGCATGTTACTGTCTATGACAGAGGGACTTGGCAGGTGTAAGTTAGGGATCTGAGAGGGGGCAGGTCCTCCTGGATTATCCAGGTGGGCCCTGTGGAGCCACAAGGGTCCTTATGAGAGAGGCAGGAGGGACCCCAGTCAGAGAGAGACTGAAAGATGCCATGTTGGGGGCGCCCGGGTGGCTCAGTCGGTTAAGTGTCCAACTTCGGCTCAGGTCATGATCTCATGGCTCGTGAGTTCAAGCCCCGCGTCGGGCTCTGTGCTGACGGCTCGGAGCCTGGAGCCTGCTTCGGATTCTGTGTTTCCCTCTCTCTCTGCCCGTCCCCTGCTCATGCTCTGTCTCTCTCTCTCTCTCTCTCTCAAAAATAAATAAACATTAAAAAATTTTTTTTAAAGAAAATATGCCACGCTGTTGGCGTGGAACACGGAGGAGGGGCCTCGGGCCAAGGGATATAGACTGTGCTTCCAGAGGCCTGGAGAAGCCGAGGGAACGGATCGCCCCCCCCCCCCCCGCCCCGCCCCGGGCCTCCAGGAAGGCACAGTCCTGCTAACACCTTGCTTTTTATCTTTAGTGAGGCTCATGTTAGAGGTTTGACCTACAACTGTAAGATAATGCGTCTGTTGTTTTAAGTTGACCAGGTTTGTGATCTTTTGTCCCGCAGCAATAAGGAGACTAACACACCTGGAAAAAGGGAATCATTATGGATCCCATTGTGCAGACCCAGAGGGGTGCACTTCCTGGCCCCGGGGTGGTGCTGGCCCCTGAGCTCCAAACCGGAGGGCAGGGCTCTGTTTGCTTCCCCCCCCACCACCCTACAGCCCTCCCCGCCTGCGCAGGACAGTGCTGGGGTGCAGGTGGCCGGTATTCTGCTGGCTGGCGGGCTGGCTGGGCGCCCCCTGCCCCTCACCCCCATGCCTCCAGCTCGCACGTCTTTGTGGCATGCCTGTGATGTGCCCGGCGCTGCA